GGATGTACTAGAAAACATTTGGGTGGGTTGGGTGAAGTGGGAAGTGAAAAAAAAAAAGAAGTTCATCTCTGTTACAAAGTCACATGTATCACGACGGAGACAAATCTAAAACATAAAAGCAGTTGAAAATAAAGAGGAAGGATATTCCAGGGCGGAAGTAACCTCACAAGGCAGAGATGGAAGAGGAAAAGATGTAGGCCTAGTAGGAAATCGATGTTAATGGTGAAAGACCCCACACAGGCATTCAAAAGAAAAAGGCATATGCTAGTTTAAGGCATTAAGAGGAAGAACGAAAGCTTAAACAATGGCGCAACAGCAAAAAGGCAGAGGCCCCTGGACAGTTTTCTAGCTGCTTAGGTATGGCAAAAATGAGGTGCACTAGAAACAGAGACGCCAACAATAAACAGTAACTGGAAGAAGGTGCAGATGATGTCAAATCCACATCGCCCTCATGACTGGACAACACAAGTGCCACAATGCCAACGACAATACAAAGCAAGCATTTAAGATAGACTGTAACACAAGCACCCTTCAGCACTGAAGGCTACAACTCATTACAGCAGCTCAACTAGTTTGAATAGTTTGGATCAAAGCTAGACCCTTCTGGCCATCATCCTTCCCCTCTCTGATTTCCTCCACCTATGATCCCTGATCAACCATTCTCCCCACCTCCCTTCTCTTCCCTCGTTGGTGATGGTGCACCTAAGTTGCACGTAGGGTTCACCATGTTCTGAATGACCAATGAGATGCAACCCTGGTCTCTCCCTCATTCCATACTCTAGCACATTCGGCCCAAATAGTCTATGCAACAACATGTCACATGAGAGAGCTCATTTTCGCAGCTCACACCATACTCGTGATGTACACGCACGTGCGCACGACTTGCACTGCGAACGCATGGGCAGTGTGCAGGGGTACGTGCAACTGGCCACCATGCGCCCGGAGGGCGCCGCGTGGTGTTCAGTCTGCCCTTGTGTGTGTGTGTGTGTGTGTGTGTGTGTGTGTGTGTGTGTGTGTGTGTTTTATATTTTCCCCCCAACAGCCCCAATTCCGCCATGGCTATGGCGGACATAAAGTGATACCTGCAGTAGAAGAGGAACTCGGACATTGATTCTGGATCAGCCATTCAACATTGTACTATTATTTCTTGTGTGAATAAGAGAGGAGGGAGGAGAGTGGTTGGTGAAGAAGAGCATTATCATTTGTCTATGCTGGTGTACATCATCTTCTTTTTTCTTTCTTCTTCTTTCTTTTTTCTTCTTTCTTTCTTCTTCTTCTTCTTCTTCTTACCCTCTCTCTCCTCTCAAGTTCATTCATTTCTTTCTGCAATTGGACGGCATTATACTATCTGATGAATGTGTACTTCGAAATTGACCAGGATCATAACAGACCGGCCCGTTGGTGACCCGACTACAGGTGGACCTGGATGTAAATGGCCACAATTACCCCATTAATAAGTGGAAAAGTCCTAATGTGAGCAAGGCTGTGACCCCCACATGTGCAAACTGAGAAAGAATCGTCCGTTAGAACATGGGAAGATACACCACATATTTTTGTCTTTTTTGCACGTGGCGAGTAGTGGAGCGGGGCCCTATACCGGGCATCGAACTCAGGCCCGTTGTAATTCTGACAGACGTCATCTGTCAGACAACCCCAGACAAAACTAACTGTGGTGTATCTATCCATATTCGTGCTCAGATTCATTTTGCACTTATGCCGAGCAATAGGGCGAGGTCCTTACCCTGTCGGATTCTGGCGGAGGACCTACCCTCACCACCGGTTCTGGCGGCAGGTAAGGGCCTCGCTCCACTACTCACCACATGCACAAAAGGCAAAAAATATGACGGTGTATCTTTCCATGTTCTAGCAGAAGATTCATTCTCATTTGCACATGTAGTGAGTAGCCGAGGGAGGCCCATAAGTCAAAATAGCTGCTCAACGTACCCTCATCATGACTGTACGGAACTAAAAAAACAGCAATATGGAAGGTGCATCTTCCCACGTTTTTCCTTCGGATACATTCTTGTTTAGCACAATCTCCTTTTTTTTTTAAGCAAAAAACGGTTGTCCATTTTGTTGTTTTCCATTTCAAGAAAAAGAGAGCAAACCATGTCCTTCGGGACATCCGTTAAATTTGGAACGATACAGAGAAGATTAGCATGTCCCCTGCACAAGGACGACACAAATAAATCGAGAAACAGTCCAAATCAGGGTTGCACCCCCCGACGATCAGCGGCCCTCGACTTGTCAGCTGCCGACCCACCGACCGATCACCCGGTCGGCACCTACCGGTCGGGGGTCATCGGCACCCCGCAAAAAAAGAAAAAAAAAAGGGGTCAAGAACCCCTAATAATACCACCAACACCCCCATAGCGGCCCCAAATACCCCCATAGCGGCCCCAAATACCCCCATCCCCCCCCCGCCAACACCCCCAAACCGCCCCCAATTCAGCAAGCGCAGCACAGCCCCCAACTCAGATTTGAAAAAAAATCAGTGGATGTTTTTTTTTTTTTTTTTCCCCTGACTAGTCGGCAGACCACCAACTGGTCTGCCGCGGTCGGGGTCAGTGGTCGGCAGGGATGCAACCCTTGTCCAAATTGAAAAAAAAAAAAAAAAAAAAAGGAGAGAGAGAGAGCAAACCAACCCTTCCGCAGAGCCGGGCCCTTCGGAATCCTCATCATGACTATCGCACTTCTGAAAAGCCCACATAGAAGACAGCAACACAAGGACATACAACACACACACACACACACACACACACACACACACACACACACACAGTTTCAGGGCCAGAGCGCGGCCCCCGAAAAAAATTGCCCCGCCCCTCCCTCAATTTTCACGGTGGGGGAACTTCAATATAGCACCCTCCTTGACTTCCTTTTTTTTCAGTGACCCTGATTTTTCGCCCTTGTAGCGCACCAAGTGTGGGTGCCACATGCGCCATGCCCATGGTTCACACGCACATAGTGTTTCATTTGAGGAACACGTACAGAGGCCACAACAACTACTCACCGAAAGGTAACTTGCATTCCGGAAGTCCCAGCCACCAGTGTACTTGCGGAACTTGTTTCGTGGATCCGGCCGATCAGTCTGGTTTTCCGCCAAACGCTCAAATGGTTTTGTTTCTTGTGTTGTGGAGAAGTCCATGTCAGCCAATCCGTCAAGCGACAGACTTCCATTTGTGCTGTTACCTCCAAACACCGATGGGTTGGCCGCTAGGTTGGTAAGGGCGTCCCTTGCTGCTGCCTCATCCAGTGAACCATTTACAAGACCAGTCAGGTTAAAATCCGAGCTGTTGAATTTAGCACCCGCAGCAATGCTCTCTACAACTGCTGGAGATGGCAAGCTCAAACCTGGGGGTAAAGTTGAAGGCAAGCTTTCGGGTATGTCCGCGGAAACCCCATCCCCACCACGTAACTCGAGGCTGCTCTGCTCTTGAAGTAGTTTGCGCGACTGGTGTCCACCAATTTCTGTTATGAGAACACTTTCAATCACCAACTTTGTATCTCTTTGTGCTGCACAGACCAAAGATCGGACATCGACAGTGACAGAAATGAGTACCAAGCACTACCCGCTTACACAGAGAAATTTCCAATCTTCCAACCAGAAATGTAAGGACATGACTCAGTGACACTGCAAAACTCACACGGAAGTATGTTCGCAGGCAGATAAGCAGAAACTGTTCGCCCATCTCTCTCTCTCTCTCTCTCTCTCTCTCTCTCTCTCTCTCTCTCTCTCTCTCTCTCTCTCTCTCTCTCTCTCTCTCTCTCTCTCTCTCTCTCTCTCTCTCTCTCTCTTGAGTTTGTGCGCACTCACTCCTTCGTAATCTATCACTACCACTACCACTGCCAGAACGTAACTGCCACTACCTCCTGAGTCCTGAGAAATCAGCCCAACCCCTGCAGACGGAAAAAAAAAGAAAGCGGCCGGTCAGAACAACTGGAAACAGTGAAAAGTGTGTTGGCAATAATTTGCTTCACAGTGATGGCAAATCCAAGTCTATTGGTACCTTCCGATAGAACACGAAAAATGATACTGCACACTAAGAAATATTGCTCTGACGGAAGGTCAAGGTTCGAGCACTATCATCTGCATGTGGCCTGACAACTGCACTGCTAAGCTAGGAGAGCTACAGCGACCACACTCTCTCTCACAGGAAGCCAGCAGTAAAAAGATATCATGGATTGTTTCCTGTTTGGGGGCAGTTTGACCAGGACAGCCAGGACTATATTTCATGATTTTGAAAGGATTTCACACTGCAGACACCCAAGTCCCGGTTCCAGAGTCCCAAATTGCCCCAGTCCAAGATGGTCCCAGTCCCACCGGTCCAGGTAGCTGGGTCCCAGGTAGGGTTTGTAACTTTGTAGGGTCCTAGGGTCCACAGGAAGCCGAAGCATCGTAGGCCATGTCAGGCCAGTACCGAATCAGACCGGTAAAAGTCCCACCGGTACCTGACAAGAAGTCCAGGCCAAAAGACCAATTTTGCAGCAGAATCCCAGGAAAAGTCCGGAAGGTACTGGGCAGCGGGCAACCAAAATTCATGCAGCAGACAGGCCGCGGGCAACCGGTACCTGTCAGAAGCAGACCAAGGCCAACTCGAGCAACTATCAATAGCTGCTACAGTGCAGCTCACGCATCTTTTGTCCCGCGTGAGATTGCGGAAGCGCTGCTGGTTGCTTGTGCAACACCACAGCTTGGACAATGTGCCAGACCGCCTGCAGGGCGCCGTGCAAATTAGGGTTGAGGAAGAAGAGGGCGTCCATAGTCACCATAGCTGTGGCAGTTGAAGGAGGGCAGATGTATCCAGGGTTATGGTCCAAGTAGTCACACACCCACACACACACGCACACACACACACACACACAGAGAGAGAGAGAGAGAGAGAGAGAGAGAGAGAGAGAGAGAGAGAGAGAGAGAGAGAGAGAGGCAGATTGATACAAGGGCAGAGAGAGCAGCCAGATATATATATATATATATATATATATATATAGAGAGAGAGAGAGAGAGAGGGACAGATGGTCACAGGAGGAGGGTGCTGAGGTTACATACCTGACTGGGGTTGTTGTTGGTGGCACTGACAAGTGCTAGTGCGGTTGTCAACTGCCCTGCTGAGCGCTGACTATCTAAACTCCGAATTTGCACAATACGAGTATTCATTGAAGTTTTCTGAGCTTCGCTGATCTGGTGTTCCATATATGGCTTTGGGGTGAATATCCATGTGAACTTTCACTGTGCATGTTATGTGGAGAGTGAATCTGAGCGGATCGTTGCATTGTAGTTAACATCGTCGAAATCCTAAAAGAGAGTCTAGGGGTCGTAGCTTTTGGTCAAGTGGAAATTCTTGGGCCAACAGTCACCCGCACAGCCTCTGAAAAGGTACTAGAAAGTCCATAGGTCAGTATGTCCTAGTCAAGGGTCAAAATGAGGTGGCCAGGGCCTGTACAGTCAAAACCAGGCCATAAGAAGTCGACAGTCATGCCCAACCCGGTCATTTCTCATGCACATCCAAAGGCTCAGTGCAGTTTACAGAAGCTAAAGACCCAAAGTATCCATTTTCACACTGGCTGCTACCAGAGCTTGGACACAAAGATTGAGGAATCTCAGCCCTTCAAGGAGGTGAAAGGAGGCATGCCAGGTCCAGTCCACACTACATACGACCATCCTTCCCAATTCATTCTGTTTTGCGCTGGCTCGAGGCTGGAGCTCTCCATTCCAAGTGCCAGTATCGGGGAGGGGCATACAGAGCGAGAAAAATGACAATATAGTGGCCATAGTTTGGATACACGGCCCCGGACCCGCTGCGCCATAACTTAACGTGGACTGTGGCATACTGCGTAGCCACACGGGCCCTACAGGGCCCGTCCCGGACATTCAGCCTAAAAGCCTAAAACTTAGGGCTTACAGGCCCCGTTCATTTCAGCCTGGATGCTGAAAAACGAGGGCCTGCAGGCCCTACCTCGTTTCAGCCTATTTCTGGGTCTTTTCAGACCCAGAGTTTTCAGCCTGAAACGGAGGGCCATTTTCAGGCCCTCATTGTTTCGACCTGCTCCTAAGACTCAGGCACGGAAACAGGGATGCGGAACAGGCCCAAAATAGCCTGTTCCTCACGMACTCGAGCAGGAGCTGCAGCTGCAGCCCCTGCCTCCCTTCGGCAGGCTCAAGAGGCACACCCGTAGTACATAGGAGGTTCCCATGCACTTCACGGGGAGGGTAGTGTCAGTAGGGGAGGTAGTCTTCAGGATTCGGCCGCAGCACTCAGGAGGAGCGCTGCAGTAGTCTTCAGCGCTAGGCAGTAGTGGTAGCGTTAGCTGTAGTCTTCGGCGCTTGGCGCCATAGCTGTAGCTGTAGTCTTCAGCGCTGGGCGCTGGTAGGTAGTAGATCGTAGAGTGGGAGAGAGACTGGCGGAGGCCAGTGTTACTTACCTGTGGCGCCATCGCTCCAGCTCCATCTTCGTGCTACCTGCTTCAAGGCGCCAACTTCACAGGTTAGTACTGGACACAGAGAGAGAGAGAGTTCTTCTTCTTCCTCTTCTAAGTCCACCTTCTCTTCTCACCCTCTCGCCACCTGACTTCTCAGACTACGACAGAGAGAGACAGAGTTGTGACTTGAGACTTGACGACATTGGATCCAGACTTGACATTTGGGATTCAGACAGTTCAACGAGGGACTATTTGGGCTTGTGCCGAAGACTTGGTGTTGACGACATTCCCATCTTCCCCCTCCTCTTCGTCTATCCCCTTCCTCCTCGTCTGTGCATGTTCTGGGCTGGCGCTGTCTTCCTGTGTGGAGCGCCAGACCCATTCACACTATGAAACGATGATGATGATGTATGTTCAGGGCTGCACTACAACATTGATTGTTCGGATCACTGGTATCTAAGCCTTCCGCTGTGCTATCTTATACCTTGTATGGAAAGGTCGGTTCTTGTTCTGGTCTGCACCTATACGGTATGCAACATGGACTCAGAGAGTGAGTTTTGAGGGACGATCATATCCTCGGCAGAGAAGCGTGGTGAAAGAGAGAGAGAGGCTTACCTGAACCAACCTGGTGGATTACACTAAGATGGAGAGTCCGTCCCCTGCTTCTGAAGGCTGGTTCTGATGTTACTCTTCACTGCGCCAGTTTGACATTGACACTGGATATTGACTTGATCATTGGTGAGGTGTCAGTGAGGGAGAAGGTGTCAGTGAGGGAGAACGGCCTCATCACCGATAGAGGCTTAGGACGCGACAGCGAGGTAGCAGGATGAAGCCTGGAGGTGACAGAGGGAGCAAGAGCCATGAGATTGTACACTTTGATTACTGTTGGAATTATCTTCTTCTCCTCTTGTTCTTATCTTCCTTTGTACACCTGGTCTACTTCTCACCTCTGGTCGATGGGCATCATTGAACATTGTGAGATTCTCACATGACATTGATGCTGTGCGATTCTCGCTGTAGAGTCATTAAAGACCACAAAAATTGACAAAATGCAACTGAAAAACATTTAAAAAACAAGGGAAGACTTGAAAGTTGAACTTTTTGGGGCGGCACCATGTGACAATGGTTTCCACCTGCCTTTTCCCTCAATCTTAGCTGTCTGGAGACTTTGGGTGTCTTTTCAACATTTCTTGGTTGGCAATTTCTTTTTTTCTTTTGGGGGAATTTTCACCTTATCGCGTTCTTTAATTTATTGAATTTTATTCTTTCTTACCACGGTTGACGTCAATTCAGGCAGCAGATAACCAATGTCTGGATACAGTAATGCCAATTTTCGATCATCAGTAATTTTATTTTCGTTCATCGTTCCATTTTCTTCTTTTGTTTCCCATATGTTTCTTCCCTTGTTCTGGTTTTTTATTTGTTAATTTAAAAAAGGGCAACGGCTTCAAGACATCATCGCTGAACTGACCGGCCCAAGGTAATTCAGAATGATCTTATTCTGGTCATCTGGTGATCTGGATTCGAACTCGGGTGTATATTTCAACAGTTCATGGGTGTACCAACTGAGCTAGGCCCATTGGTCTCTTGTTCTGGTTTCTTCGTTTTTCTTTTCCGGAAGTTTTTCCGCACTTGCGTCCACCACACCCCATACAACCATAGGAAATAAAAAAAAGGACACCACAAAATGTAAGAGAATTTGGGGTTTCATCTGTTTTCTTTTGGCATGCGTCTCTTGTCAAGGTAGCAGTTGTTGACATGCATGTACTCTGCGATCTGCTGCAGTTCCCGACAACACCTTTCACCAGTCGGATTCCGAGTTATAAGCAAAAGATAGGGTGAGAGAGAGAGAGAAAGAGAGATTACTTCTTCTGCTGCTCCCCTCCATACTCTGCGATCTGCTGCAGTTCCCGACAGCACCTTTCACCGTTCGGCATCCAACTTATAAGCAAAAGAGAGGGTGAGAGAGACAGAAAGAGAGATTTCTTGTTCTGCTGCTCCCCTCCATATCTGCCACCCCATTCTTGACTTCCGAGAGAAAGATAAAAGGACGTGCCAACTGTTTTAGGGAGACTTCTCCAGGTTCAGACTATGCATTATATTCTGAGGCGATTGGGAGTTGTGAGAGACCATTATTATACCAGCTGCTGTATCCAGACCAATTTTGTTCTTCTTCCATATTAGTACTCTTCTTCTCCCTCGTCGCGTATGTTCCACATTAGTCCTCTTCTTCTCCCTCATCACCTGTATTTCTCCCCATGTGTGTGTATATGAAAGGAGAGGCCTCCTTCCATGTATGCTACCCTCCTTGCCCATCCGTGTGATGATGATTGGTGCATGGTCTGAGTACATACTATACTAGCCAGATTGATTGTTTCCAGACTTCCACTGCATTGGACTATTTCCAGACTTCCACTGCATTGGACTAGTAAGCCTCGCCGCACGACTCACAAAACTTGAATTCTGGTGAGTGGTGGGTTGCAGCACTACTCACCCATGGTTCATGCCAGAATTTGCGTCCGACAATGTGAAAATCAGGTCTGGTGAGTGCTCACCAAACCTGCCATCGGGCCTGCCTCCAACATCTTTTTGACGAGTCCTTTGATTGGCCCACCAGAGCGATGAGGTTGAGATCAGTCCGGACTGCCAGTCTGGACCAATTTGTTTCTTAGCAAGCTTGTTTACTCGCCAGATTGGCAAGTCGCAGACTATTATTGGCTCCGGTACAGGAAACAGGGTCGTTCGCTGTTGGAGTGAGGACTGAGCCACAGCACTCTCCAAAACCTCGTTTGTTCCAATGTTTCACTGGCGAGTTCTTTGTTTGGTGAGTGCTATGCTCATAAACAAATTTGGCGATTTTCAGGCCCTCTCGAGAGTGGTGCAGCGAGGCCGTGTGTTTGGTCGCACTTCGGTACAACAAAAGCCAAACCAAGTAAAATACAACATAGCAGCGACAGGCAGGAATGACAAAAAAAGAAAAGAAAAGAGTACAGCAAAATCAACGCCAGATTACAATGCAAAAACCGGACAATGTGGGCAACAGAGATTCATCTCGCGGTAACAATCTCAAGCAACTTTCTTTTTCCGTTTTTTTTGGAAGATTTCATGAAACCAACAAAAATCACCGCATGTTGCATACTCGTGAAACACAGTCATAAGTATGGCGCAGATTCCCAGAACCGACCAGATAATGCAGAGTAAGTAAAATTACAGCGGAAGACTTCATACACATGGACTGACTCAGACCTGACTCAGACTGCAACGAACACTAACAACATGCATCGGTGGTGTGAAAGCCCTGGCCTTGGACATGGAAGAAAAGGCCAGGGTCTGATCTCATACACGGATGGATGGAGGGGAGGAGAGACGAAAGGAGGAGAGGGAAGATGACGTCAACACCATGTCTCCAAAAATAGTATCTTGAATGTCATAAGTAGCGCAAATCCAAAATGTCGTGAATACAGAGTCTCACAAGGTCCCGGAGATCGATCTCCCAATATCAAGATACACCCCAGAAATAGATGAAGTCCGATCCCCGAAGTAGTCCTCAACCGAGGTCTCAATGTTGCTATCTCAGCTATCATCAGAACTCGTAACCATCCTTCGTACTCATAGTAGTCCAGTAGGAGTAACCCAAGAGCAGACTTAGAGGGTAGAGAGAGAGAGGGAGGAAAGGCGAGGCCTTTCTCCCTGGTACCTGGCAAGGCAGATATGGCGCTGCAGGGCTGGCGCTGGGCCACGGGGCGGGCCGGAGGCTGGCGCTGCTCCGCTGCTGCGCTAATTCGCTGCTGCGCTATTCCTCCTCGCTGCTCTTGCTCATCCTAATGCTGACACTCTGTGCTAATCCTGTAGACTAACCTCCTATCGGCTAACCTCCCGACTGAGGCTGGTACCCAGCTCATATAGTGCTGGGTCGGCCTCAGTACTACTGGTGCCTTCGGGTCTGGACGTTGATCAGGCCCAACGGTTCAGATCCGAATCTGAAAAGTGGCGCCTAAACTGCGCCGCCGGCCGGTCCTACCAATGGACCGGTACCTGGCCTAACCAACTAGCCATTGGGTCTGGTGGGGTCTAAACAAGGCCTACCGGACTCTAAACTGAACCGTCGGTTCCTAGGCCTACCTGGACCTACCTGGTACCTAGGCCTAATCCGTGCCTACTACAGAACCGGGCCCTAACTGGGGCCCGTGTGGTATCAGTATGCCACACCGCGTGATTACACTGTGGAAACCAAAAAATGCAGTCCACTGACATTTCGTCATGTGCTAGTTAAGTTCCAACTTCCAACCGATTTTCTCTTTTTTTTTGCACATATCACGCAACCAAGCACAATCAATGGTTGAATACAGTCCGAAAACCAAAAATTCACGTACGTGACATTTCATCAACGGTTGAGAGCAGAGCGAAAACCGAAAATTCACGTACGTGACATTTCATCTTGCCGTAACAAAGTTGAAAACGATTTTCTTTCTTTTTCCCAAGCTTTCACGAAAAAGCAACTAAATCAACACACAATTACACTTAACACCGGAAACTGTGGACGACTGACATTTCATCACGTGGTAACGAAGTTCCAAATCATTTTCTTTTTTCTTTCGCAGATTTCACTATCCAAGTACATTCCACTCACGATAATTACGATGCTAATACCAAAAAATCTACGTACCTGACATTTCATCTCGCAGTAACAAAGTTCAATGCAATTTTCCTTTCGTCTTGCAGATTTCGGGAAACCAAGTACAATGAACATGTGATAACAGTGCGAAACCCGAAAAATGCCTGAACCTGACATCTCCTGTCATGGTAACAGAGTTCAAAAGGATTTTCTCTTTTTTGTTTTCTCCGAGTAAGAAGGCGTCTCACGTGTAAATCCCAAAGAATTTCAATGCAAGATCTGCAAACTACAAGGTTCAATCAAAACTGAATCCACGGTTGGATCAAACACGAAATACGACATCTTACGCTGGCTTTGAGAACAACATCCCAGTAAAATCAACCCAATCAAATCTCTCTCTCTCTCTCTCTCTCTCTCTCTCTCTCTCTCTCTCTCTCTCTCTCTCTC